CCCCTCCCTGCTGCAGCGACCTTTTCTGTATAAAACTTTGCTTTGTTAAAAAAAAATTAGCCCTCGCCAGTGTGGATCAATGGATAGAGCGTCGGCCTGCGGAGTGGGAGGTCCCCGGTTCGATTCCGGCCAAGGGCACGTGCCGGGGTTGCGGGCTCCATCCCCACTGGGGAGAGGGCAGGAGGCAGCCAATCCATGATTCTCTCTCATCATTGGTGTTCCTATCTCTCCTTCTCCCTTCCTCTCTGAAATCATTAAATAAATATATTTTTTAAATTTTTTTAAGTGGCCCTGGCCGGTGTGGTTCAGTGGGTAGAGCGTCGGCCCGCGGACTGAAGGGCCCGGGTTCGATTCCCGGTGAAGGGCAGGTGCCCGGGCTGCGGGCTCAGTCCCCACTGCGGGGCGTGCAGGAGGCAGCCGATCCATGATTCTCATCATTGATCTTTCTATCTCTCCCTCTCCCTCTCTCTGAAATCAATAAAAACATATTTAAAGATAAATAAATAAATAAACGTGACAGGGATGAGCGCGGGGCCAGGGCGCCGCCAAACGAGGCTCCCGGAACGCGCGGCTACGCTGCAGGCGGCATCCCCACCGGCCAGGGCGGATGCGGGCGGGGCCTCCACCGCACAGAGGCCCGCGAGGCCCGCAGGCGGGATGGGGGTGCGGGGACCGGGTCGGGGTGAGATGGGCGGCGGGAGGAGGGGGTGAAAGGGAGGAATGGCAGCAGGATTCGGGCCGGCTGCCGGGCCGCGCGGCCGCACTTCCCCTCGAGGACAGCAGGCGGCGCCCCAGGGCTTTCGGGAGACGGCGGTCCGTCTGCCCCGGGTTCACAGCTGCTCGGGGCGGGCGAGTGGGACCCAAACTGGCTCCGCCGCACGGCTCCCGGGACAGGACGCAGGCCTTTGGGAAACGCGCCCCCCGCGCCCTATGCGGGGGGGTGGGGGGAGGCGCCGGGAGGCTCCGTCCACCCGCACCTGCCCCCGGGCGATTCCGGGCCGCCCCACCGCCAAGAGGTTCCCAAAGGGGTGGGGACTCCCACGTTCCCGGGGTACCACACAAGTGAGCGCCCTGCACGCCCACGTGGCTGTGCGCTCGGGACACGGCGGCCACTGTTCCCCGACCCATCAACGGCCCACAGAACCCAATGTCCTGTCCCGCCCCGCCAGGGTGGCTCGGGGTTGAACTTCGACCTCTGAACCTGGAGGTCACGGTTGGGTTCCGGTCCGGACACAGGCGGGGGTTGCGGGCCCACCGCGGGGCGTGCAGGAGGCAGCCGATCCGTGACTCTCTCATCACTGATGTTTCTCTCTCTCTCCCTGTCTCTGAAACCAATAAGAAATATATTTTTAAAAAACCCAAAAACTACAATTAAAAAACACACCACATCACAATAAGGAGAAGCCCCATTTCCTTGGCCGAGACCCTGGGTAACCGGTGACGGTGAAGACGGGCCCTCCCACCTCACACATCCGGGGGCTGCAGACCCGGGGCCACCGGCCGCAGGGCGTCCTCGCCTTCCGCTCGGGGGGCGGCTCTCTCGTCCCTTCCCCAGGTCGGGGACGCCGCCTGGGCTCCGCGCCCTCAGTTCCGGAAAGCCGGGCACCGCTCGCCTTCCCCAAACGCGACGCAAAACCCGCTTCCAATTCTCCCGCCAAGCGCCGTGACGTCACCACCCCGACACCCATAGCGCCGGCCCAAGCTCCGCTGGCGCCGCCGACTCCGCCCGCCAATCAAACTCCTCATTGGCCGCGTGCCCCGAGGCCCCGCCCCGCGACCCGCACGCCAGAGACGTAGCGACACGCTGCGCCTCGGAGCGTCTAGGAGGCGCCCGGAGAGCCGTGTCGCGCGTCCTATGACGCGTTCGCAACCACGACTGTGAGACTTGGGAGACGGAAAGCGCTGCAGGACGCAGGCGCTGGCCTGCATTTTGGAGACTGAACGGAGTAAGTCCCGAGGGGACTCTGGGCCCGCTGAGGGGCGCGGAGGTCCGTGCGCCCCGCCGTCTTTCTCCCTCGTGCCCCACCCCCCTCCCACTCCCTCTCCCCCACCCCCTCCCGGCGAGCCCGTCAGTGCGCACGCGCGGAGTCGGCGGAGGGGCGGGGGCGGGGCACACGGAAGTGACGCTGCGTCACGAACTGGAGCCTGGGGCGCTAGGATAGCGGGAGGGAGGACCGGTGTCTTCTAACCAAGTCGTTTTTCTTCCGGGACCCGAGCCCTTGTCCCCGTGAGCGCTGTCTTCAGGGCCGGGGGCCCTCGCGCAGATGTTTGGGGAGCCGAGGCGGGGCCGGGGGCGGGGCCGGGCCTTGGAGGTTGAGCCGCGGTGCGGAGGCGGGTCGCGCGCGCAGGGCGGGGGCTGTCGGCCTTGGAGCGCCCCGTCGCCCCTACGAACCCTCCAGGCCCGGGGGGCTCCCCGGGGAAGTGCCTGCCGGTGACTGAACACTGTGCACTCAGTGCGCCTGTGGGATGTTCCCGAGAGAGACGCCGGGTGTCTGCCCGGGGCTCCTCCCGGCCGGGGCGCCTCGCTCTCCCGGGGCCGCTTTGCCGCTAGTTCTGCGGCTCTTGCCCTCACCCGTTTTGCATCGGTGAACAAGCCTATTTCCGCCTTCAGATACACTGCTTACCAGCATATTCGTGTATCTGGTTTTTAAATTTTCCTTTGAACTGGTTTTAACATGTAACTAGTTCCCTGGCTCGTTGCTTAAAGATCGTGGACACGTGTTCACTTTGCGCGCAAGACCAGTGACCACCTTTCCCATTGAAATGCGCCATGGAAGAGCCCTGGCCGGTGTGGCTCAGTGGATAGAGCGCGGCCTGCGACTGAAGGGTCCCGGGTTCGATTC